TTTCTGTGGCTGGCCAGGGCTATTTCCAGCCTCGGGAAAGGGTGGCAGCCGCCGTGTCAAGGGCATCGTTGTGGGACGTGGCCGAGCATTGCCCGTGACACTCACAGGCGGCCTTTGTATGGCCAGAGCTCATGGGTGCCCGTGGCCATTGGCAGAGGCCCCAGGGGTGGCACTGAGGCCTGGGGTGGGGGGGCAGGGGGCACGGAGGAAGGGGTGGTGTCGGTAGAAAGCTGTGATGTTCAGGTTGCTCAGTAAACACCACACAGGTGGACAGCGGATGAAATCTGACGCCGAGAGGGTGGTGGGACACTTGACAGGGAATCCCACTGGACAGGGGTCCCAGAGGGACTGAGCCTGATCCCAGCAGGGGCCTCGCAGGGCCCAGGGGAGGTGCTCCAGGCCCCTCCTGTTCTGTCCTCAGGCCTGAGGTTAGGGGGAGGCGAGTGAGAGCAAAGGTATGGAATTAAAGAGGGCATCACTCCCTAACCCGGACCCTGACCCTAACCCGGGCCCTCACCCTCTCCCTCTGCCTGACCCTGACCCCGGCCTGCAGGTGGGGCCTGGGCAGACCCTGCAGCCACCCTTCGGCGTCCCCAGCACGGGTGGGTGAGTGCATGGACTCTGGCTGGGGTGGGGCCTCGGCCCTGGTTCTAGGTCAGTGATGGCGAACCTATGACATGCATGTCAGAGGTGACACTCGAACTCATTTTTTTTTGGTTGATTTTTCTTTGTTCAGTGGCATTTAAATATATAAAATAAATATCAAAAAATATAAGTCTTTGTTTTACTACGGTTGCAAAGATCAAAGAATTTCTGTATGTGACACGGCACCAAAGTTAGGGTATTTTTGTTGTTGTTTTTCATGTTGTACAGTTTATTTAACCTTTGCTGACAAAGGTGTAATTGCTCCAATACTCTCCTTTACAAACCTGAACAGTTTCTGTTGGGACATCAGGTGACAGTCTTATGGGAGCTCCCTTGTAGGTAACTCTTTCTCTTGCTACTTTTAAAATTCTCCTTAACCTTTGCCGTTTTAATTGTGTCTTGGTGTCAGCCTCTTGGAGCTCATCTTGACTTGGACTCTCTGTGTTTGCCGGACTTCTGGTTCTATTTTCTTCAACAGGTTAGAGAAGCTTTTAGTCGTTATTTGCTCAAATAGGTTCTCAATATTTTGCTCTCTTCTTCTGGAACCCCGATGATGCAAATGGTGTTGCACTTGATGTTATGCCAGAGGCCCTTTAACCTATTTTCATTACTTTTCCATTTTTCTTTTTTAAAGAGATATTTTTATTGATTTCAGAGGGCAAAGGAGAGGGAGAGAGACATAAAAGCATCAATGATGAGAATCGTCGATTGGCTGCCTCCTGCGCGCCCCGTGGTGGAATCAAGCCCACAACTTGGGCTTGTGCCCTGACTGGGAATTCTCCCCTGACCTCCTGGTTTATAGGTTGACACTCAACCACTGAGCCACACTGGCTGGGCTCATTTCTTTTTCTTTCTGCTGTTCCGATTGAGAATTTTCTTCTACCTTGTCTTCCAAATAGTGGGCTCAATCCTCTGCTTCGTCTAATCTGCTGTTGACTTAATCTAATATATTCTTTATTTCAGTTATTATATTCTTAGTTTCTGACTGGCTTTTAAACATAGTTTCCATGTACTGTTTACGCTTACTAGCTCTTTGTTGAAATTCTCACTACATTTCTTGAGCATCCTATAAACAGTGTTTTGAACTCTCTGCCTCCATTTTGTTTAGTTATTTCCTGGAGTTTTAGCCTGTTCTTTTATTTTGGACATGTTTTATGTCTTCTCATTTTGGCTGCGCCCCTGTGTTGTAGGTAGCTCTAAACCTAACTGTAACATTAACCTAACCTAACCCTAATTGTAACCCTAACCTTTCATCCTAACTTTAACCCTAACCTAGTCATAGCCCTAGCCCTAAACCTAACCCTAATCTAAAGGATAAACCTAAACTTCGCCAAAGCCCCAGATTTAAACCTATCCCTAGCAATAAACTTACCCCTAACCCAACCCCCATCCTAAAACTAAATATAGCTCTAGACCAGGGGTGGGCAAACTTTTTGACTCGAGGGCCACAATGGGTTCTTAAACTGAACCGGAGGGCCGGAACAAAAGCATGGATGGAGTGTTTGTGTGAATTAATATAAATTCAAAGTAAACATCATTACATAAAAGGGTACGATCTTTCTTTTTTAGTTTTATTCATTTCAAATCGCAGGCCGTAGTTTGCCCACGGCTGCTCTAGACCTAGTTCTAAAACTAACTGTAAACCTAACCATAGTCAGCCTTAGCCTGAACTCTAATTTTAACCCTAGCTATACCCCAACCCTAAACTCAGTCCTAGCTCTAAGCCTAAAACCTAATCCTAGTCCTAGTTCTAGCTCTAACCCTAACACTAGCCAAGCCATAATGATAGCCATATTCCTAACTGTAAATCTAATCCTAAGCCTAGACCCAAACCTACCCATATCCTTAGCCATCAACCTAAACCTAATCAAGTTAGGGTTTTTCAAAATGCTGACAGGCCGAGCTCAAAAGGTTCGTCATCACTGGTCTAGGTCCACAGGGGTGACCCCGAGAAGGTCTAAATGCCACTCAAATGTCTCCCCGTGGAAAGACAGAACGAGAGACTTTTTTTTTTTTTTTTTTTTTTAGAACGAGAGACTTTTGAAAAGTTGTAGCCATTTTCCTGAGACGCCTCTTTGTGAAGTCAGGTGGGGGCCCAGGGACCGTGAGGGTTGGTCCCCCTCACACTCTTGTCTCCTACCTGGGGGGAGGGGGGAGCAGAGGCTCACCTGTCCCCCCACCACCACCACGTGCCCAGAGGCAGTGGTTGTTCCTGGTGGGTTTTGACAGGAGTCCTGGCCTGGGTCAAGCGTGAGAAGGTCAGGGGTTGATTCTGCCCCGAGGCAGGCTTTGTGCCTGGTGTCCAGGCAGGAATTCAGAGCATGTGGACGGCTCTCCCAGTGGAAGGAGGCCCCAGGACACAATGGACATAGGACTTGCCCTGCTTACCAAGACCAGGGGCCCCCACGCTGGCTGGCAGGGCTCAGGTCTCAGCGTTGTCTCCCACCAACACCTGCTTTTCGGCCACCCCTTGGGAGAGGCGGGCCTGGGGGAGCGTTCCGTGCAGAACAGGGCCCCTTGGGAAGGGAACTTGGGGTCCTGCGCCCACTGAGCAAGATGTAGAGCAAGCATGTCAAACTCACAGGCTGACACGGGCCAAATAAGTAAGGTGTAAGTGTATGTGGGCCACAAAAAAACCCCCCAAACTACCATTTTCAGAGAAATGCAGGTTTATTTTGGTAGAGACATGCTGAATATAAAGGCCTGAAATAAATGAGTCATCATTCACATAAAATAATAGAACTTTTTAATAAAAATTAATATTTTTTCTTGAACATGAACTTACCAGACACTGAATAACTGCACAAATGAATAAGTGTTACGCAAATAAACCTATTTTTTCCTGTTCTCCGAAAGCGAAATATTTCCTGTTGCGCACACCAAACGAATGATGTGGCCGTCGACTGCTAAAATATTTGCTGCGAGTATTACTGGAGAGAAATGGTGCGCCTGAGTGTAAGGCGCGTAAGGGAAATGAACACAACACGATTAGGTTATAGTCATCAGCATTAGCAAACGTTGTAGTTCGTTATTACTAATTATGTATAACAGGACATTGTAAAAATTAAGTTAGAAAATTTTTATTAAAACGTTTCTCACATACCGTTATATTGGCTGGGCCGCAAACCTGACCAAGGTTCATGCCCTTCACCGGAATCAAACCTCGGACCCTTCAGTTCACAGGCCGATGCTCTATCCACTGAGCCAAACCGGTTAGGGCAAGTTACAAAATTTTTATTGAAACGTTTCTTGCACACCGTTATGTTGGCTGGGCTGCAAATATATTCATTGTGGGCCACATGGGCCGCGAGTTTGACATGCTGGCTGTAGATCCCATAAGGCAGGTCCCCGCTCTAGGCAGGAACAAGCCATTGGTCCTCCCTGTGGGAAGGACGTGGCCAGGGAGGGGCCTCTGAATGTGGCTGTCAGAGCAGAACCCCCGTTTTCTTTCTTTAAAAAAAAAATAATTGATTTCAGAGAGGAAGGGAGAGAGAGAGAGAAACATCAATGATGAGAGCGAATCATTGATCGGCTGCCTCCTGCACACCCCCTACTGGGGATCGAGCCTACAACCCGGGCATCAAACCCTGATCAGGAATCGAAACTGGGACCTTTCAGTCCGCAGGCCAACACTCTATCCACTGAGCCAAACCAGCTCAGGCGGGAACCCCCGCTTTCCAAGGTCTGGGCCTCATTTGTCACAGAGAGAAAGTGGTTGTGATGTGGGCAGTGGCCGACGTCCCTGCAGAGGCTCCCAGTCAAGGGACAGGACAGAGCCACCTGGTGAGGACCCCTGTCACTCCTAGAACTTCAACTTCCCCCTCTCACCCTGGCTCAGGGCCATCCTGTGTCACCGGTGGCTGGGCCTTGTGACAGGAGGGACAGAGGAAGGGAGGGTCCCCGCCCTCGCTCCCCCCTCCCGCTCCCCTTTAAACCTGTTTACGCGCCTTCGAATCGGCAGTCCTTTTCCTTCCCCAGGGCCCGGCAGATCTATTTTTGAGGATCTGGGCCGGGACCAGGGCTGGGCGAGGCCAGCCACGTCAAACAGAGTTGAGCTTCCTGCCTGGGCCTCCCTGCTGTCCCGAGAGGGGCCCTGTCTCCCTGCCCTGGCATCTCTAGGGTGGGTGGGTGGGTCCAGCAGGGCCTGAGGGAAGACAGCTCGGTTAGGCCTTGGAAACCAAGAGGAGTCCTGGCCGGGTGGCTCGGTGGTTAGAGCATCATCCCATAACCCCAAGGTTGTGGGATCCATCCCCAGTCAGGGCACATACAAGAACCAACCAGTGAATGCACGAATAAGTGGAACAACACAGCGATGTTTCTCTCCTTCTTTCTCTTAAAATCAATTTTTTAAAAAAGAAAAAGAAATCCAATCTGGACTTCCCCAGGGCCCGGCAGATCTATTTTTGAGGATCTGGGCCGGGACCAGGGCTGGGCGAGGACAGCCACGTCAAACAGAGTTGAGCTTCCTGCCTGGGCCTCCCTGCTGTCCCGAGAGGGGCCCTGTGGAACTTTGTCCAGGAGCCAGGAGGTCAGGGTTCGATTCCCGGTCAGGGAACGTGCCCGGGTTGTGGGCTCGATCCTCAGTGTGGGGCGTGCAGGAGGCAGCCGATCCATGATTCTCTCTCATCATGGATGTTTCTCTCTCTCTCTCCCTCTCCCTTCCTCTCTGAAATCAATTAAAATGTATTTAAAAATAATTAAACTGAGAGGTGGTTTACTCCATCTGCTAAAATGGAAGTGTTTTCCCCTGACGAGTGGGCTTCATTTATGACTAGAACCCAAACAAAAACAGCCACTGAGCCCAACACCCAGTCAAGTCCCCGTGTAGCTGCTGCTCAGGTTTCTCCCCGGCCTGGCAGCCCCGGCACACGTGCCCCGGGTGTTTCCTGCGCGCCCCACACGCGGCCTGCTCCCCTCTCCGCGGCCTCCTGCCCCTGGCTTTCCCCAGAGCGCAGGCCTCGCCCTGCCCGCCTCATGTCAGCGCTGTGCACAGACCTGTGTGTTCCCTGCTCCAAGTTCACCAGCAGCGACTGCTGGTGGGTGTGGGCTTTGAGGCTGAGGCTCTGAGGATCGGAGGCCGTCCTCGCCTGGCTGATCCCGCAGAGAAAGGCGAGGGATGTAGCATGAGCTGACTCAGGCTGAGCCTCCTGCATGGGTTCAAATATGTCAGTGTGTAGTCATGGACTTGAAATGTCAGAACCGAAAGGGCCGCCCTCGCCGGTGTGGCTCAGGGGATAAAGCGTCGGTCTGTGGACTGAAGGGTCCCGGGTTCGATTCCGGTCAAGGGCACGTGTCCAGGTTGCGGGCACATCCCCAGTAGGGAGTGTGCAGGAAGCAGGTGATCAATGATTCTCTCTCATCATTGATGTTTCTCTCTCTCCCTCCCCTCTCTCTCTCTCTTTAAAAAAAAAAAATACAGCCCTGACTGGTTTGGCTCAGGGGATAGAGCGTCAGCCTGCAGACGCAAGGGTCCCAGATTCGATTCCGGTCAAGGGCATGTACCTTGGTTGCGGACACATCCCCAGTAGAGGGTGTGCAAGAGGCAGCTGATTGATGTTTCTCTCTCATCGATGTTTCTAACTCTCTACCCCTCTCCCTTCTGGTCTGTAAAAAATCTATAAAATATATTTAAAAAATACATAAAAAATTAAACAGAGAATGATCAGGCAGTTCTACTTCTGGGGTTATATCTGAAGGACGTGAAAGGGGTGTCTTGAAAAAAAAATTTAAAAGCTCCACTCCCACATTCATGACGGCATTATTTCTAATAGCCCAGGTATGGAGGCAACGTAAGCTAATGGATGGATGGATGGACAAAGAAACTGGTGTAAATCCACGTGGTCTTGCACACCCTTTCATAGGCTTATTCCTAGAGATCTGAGTCTTCCCGCCTCCTCTCGCCTGACAGTACAACGTTAAGTAGAAGTGGTGACAGCGAGGGTCCTTGTCTTTTTCGCAATAATAATGGTAAGAAAGGGCTTTTACAATGTAAAGTACCTGCATGAGACCCCACACCGTCCTGCCCTCTTTGTCCAGAGAGAGCAACTAAATCTGCTGTTAGGTGCTGGGGTAGGTCGCCGTGGGGGAGGTGGCCGTGTCATCCTGGATGTAGCTGGGGAGCTTGTCTCCCAGCAAAGAGGGGAAGGGAAGACAATTGATACTACGGGGTATTTGGGGGACCCGATCTAGGCCCCAGTGTGACTCAAGGGGGTGGGGACGAAGGACAGGGAATGTCAGATACTTGGTTGATGCCAGATCCAGCCCTGCGTCACTGATATTCTTTATCAATTATTTTCACTTAAGTTCTTGTTTGGAAACATGCAAACATGATGTAGGAAGCTAACCTCCAC